TAAGAGATTGTTTCACAGTGATTAAAGTCTTGGGAGAAGAACACAGCGCACACACACAATGAATATGATAAAAATGGGGAAAAAAATGATAATGCAATAGGGGAAAAAAAAGTAGCCCACTAATCCAAGAATTTGAAGCTCAAGAAAAATTTTAGCACCTTTTAAAAGAAGAATTGAACTGTGAAACAGACTATTTTGGTCTGGTCAAAACCAAACCATAAATACTGTTGGTCTTGTAAGTAATTTCCTTACTCAGCCCAGCATGACCATGCCAAGCTGATCTGCTTTCATCTTATTTCTGTAAGTAATTAGGTTACAAATTTAGAACACATTATCCTGCAACAACAGCTTTTAAATACCTATATCCAGTTCAATGACCACTCACATTCAGTCTTTGCTGCATTTGAGGTTTTTAATACTGTTTAAAGGTGATATAAATGCATCTGGAGGGTAGCACTAAGCAATTCTATCACCACTTGATCCTACAGGAACTAATTCTGTGAAAAGCGTGTGACATCCCGTAATACTATATTCTCCCACTAACAGGAGAGACAGGACTCAGTATCTGCCGACCTCACGTATCCTTTCAAACACCGGGAAAAGAGAAATTCACTCTCAGAAAACTAAGGCATACATACCCATGGAGTTAAATCAATACACAATGACACAGTGCTAACTCTCTGTTGTTGGAAAACTATGGATGCCTAGCCCAAAAGCACAAGTTTTGACTTCAGAGATGAGAGAACATTTAGGAAACAGGACATATTCACCATATGAAATAGTGGCACATTCTATTTGCCAGTACAACGCTTGCATCTAGTTTCTGTGAGCACAATCTATTAAATTGTAATGCCTCTTCTGCAAAAGCAGCTTTGATTTTCTTAGACAATTGACGTGCACTGTATTAATCCATGGTTAATCTATCTCCACACATAACCTGTCTCAACTTTGATTAACAGTAGCAGATAAATCAATGGTAATTTGATAAAGCAAGATAAACCAGGCTAACTGTAAGTATGCAGCTAATACTTTGAGGGACATTACCATTATTCAGGGTTTTAAGAAAAGCTAAAATAAATAAATAAAGATTCTTTTTTTAAAAAAGAAAAAAAAAAGGAAAGTTATCATGATCTTTCGTGTTGAAGAATATAAGAGCTCAATACCAAAACTGCCATGAAGAAAAGCTGCTTCCCTACCTCTGCCACACAAAAGATCAGTCTCCAAATAAATAACATACAGGAAATCAGGGGACCACACGGTGATAGGATAAGAGGCAACAGGCACAAATTCAAGTACAGGAAGTTCCATCTGAACATGAGAAAAACTACCTGACTGTGAAGGTGATAGAGCCCCTGAAGAGGTTATCCAGCAAGGCTGAGGAATCTCCTTTGCTGGAGACACTCAAAACCCACCTGCTCATGATCCTCTGCAATGCGATATAGATGACCCTGCTTGAACAGGGTGTTTGGACTACATGATCTATAGAGCTTCCTTCCAACTATTCTGTGATTTTGTGAAAAGGAGTTGTCAAGGGATACTACCTGCCCTGGATTTGACTATGAAGATCATCTCAGGTAACAGAAAATGTGATTATACTCTTGAATATTGACCGAGATGAGAGTTGATCGGCTCATCTCTGTCACCCAAACTGAGGCTAAGATCATGGGAAGACAAGGAATGAGAAACTTCAAATGAAATCATTTCTTGTTTCTGAACTAAATTTTACTATAGCATCTTTCCATTTGAATTTTAGCAGTATTTCAGCCTTGGACAAGATGAACATTTTAAGTTTTGCTACTCTTGCATACATCCCTCACTAAATGCAAGCCACCCATATTGCTATCACACTGCTAACAACACACTCATACACAAATCCCTTCCATTCTTCATGCTACTGAAATGAGGGGCACCTCTTCTAGGCACTAACACACATTACCCCCTTTGAAATTCTGATATTTGTTATCAGAACCTCATGAGAAATCACGTCAATACTAGTGCCTAAATGAGGACTTTTTTTTTCCACTCTCTTCTTCCTGACTTCACAATGCATACTTATCCCTGGAAACAGAGCGGGAATGCATACAGACACCTCCCCATGGCTACTGCCAGGTCAAAGAGCAGTTGCTGAGGTTGCACCAGCACTTCCTCCTTATCAAAGGTTTATAGTTCTGCCAAATTCACCACTATAGAGAGCATAAAAGTATCACTGAAAAACTTATAAAAATGAGGCACTTCACAGTGACTTTTCACACAGCACTTGATGCTAATACTCAGCTATGGTCTTTAGATGCAAAAATATTCTCTCACCGTGCAATACTTGAGCACTGCTAACAGCTGTTGTAAAGGACCATTTCACTCTTCTATCCCTTAAAATATCCTTCCCCAAAATTGGCCGTGGCTGTAATAAATTTATTTTCTGAAAACCATTTGAGAACCTTTTGACTTATCTGTTACACTCAAATAAACCAGTATTTTCCCACTGCTCCCCCACAGTATGAACCCTAAGGCAATACAAGGATGAAATTCATGGTTTGTTTTCTAACATATTTTTCTACAATCCAGCTCAACAACATTGTTGCACATACCTTTTAGCAACTCTTTCCTCTAAATCTAGAGAAGAGACAGAAAGCAAAAGGTCATAGAATTGAGGGAAAATCAAGTACTAAAAATGTCAGAAGAAAGTTGCTTCAATTCTTACTCATCATATTTGTTTATAAGATAATTACAGCTTACCAAAACTGATACATGATGCAATAGGAAAGTCACTTAAGGAAACACAATGCATTGCAGTGATTCTCATAAAGCAGATAGTAATTATGTTGAAACAAATGCATTTTTGTATCTCTTTCTTCCTCATCTTGTAAGAAAGCAGAACTAGATCCACAAGAGAATGTAAATGTCTTGCCACTTCCTAGACTACAGTGCCCTCAGATTAGCAACCACTCTCCACATTGGCAAATGGCCAATTTAGCCAAAAATAAACAAAGAGAGAAATAACAGAGACTTAAACCCCCAGATTTAACTCCACAGAGCAACAACAAAAATATTCCTTTCCTCTTAGTCACTCAACACTTGGCCCACGTGCAGTCGCGCCGGGTTCACATCATTGATCTGTATTGATGATCATTTTCTCCCCCACCAGCCAGTCCACAGACTACACACTCTGCTTGCTCCTAGCCCCAAATGGGATATCACTCATCAGGAATGAAACTCTCCCAAGTCTGGAAATGCCTCACATCAAAACAGCCAGGTGTGGATTTCACATTCCCGCCAGACCTAGAGGAATCTGAATCTGAACTTCAACATCCTGGCAAAGTATTCAAACCATTTGTTATGCCATAACTCTTCTGCAGAAAAGAAGTATGCAGTATTGCCTCTGTCTTTGTCTCCTTCCTTAAAGATTAGAGTCATTCCTTATCCAAATCATTTGTGCGTCACTAATGTTACCTCTGCTCACTTTCTCATTCAACTGATGCATACTTTTAGAGTTACAGTGGTTTTATTAGTATGCAATTGGACATCCTTGGGAGTATAAAAAAAGTGCCTATCAAGAGGTATGCAGATTTTAATTACTTTTTAAGGCTTACTTAAACATACCCTGACATATAAATAACTTATGTGTTCAGAATCTTGCTCCGTACTTGGGCCTGAACTACACTTAATGCATTTCACCACATAGTTATGTCAGAGGCACAGGGAGGAGGATACAAACATAAAACACTTGTTTGCCAGAATTGCTGTGTTGGATAAAGCACTTCAGTAGGCTGACAGAAAAATGATTTTAAAATTCAGAGAATAGGCCACGTTTCCACCAGATGAGTTTTCTGTCATGAATGTACCAGCAAATCTTTTCATATATGCAAATGCCTCACATTGCTCATTAAGAAACCAACAGCACTTAATAAAATTATTTACGAGAAGTTTTAAGGATTTCTGATGAACGAACAAAGTAATAACTACTTCGGTGCTCCAAATGCCACGATATCAAACCTTTCTACACCACTATTTGTCACATTAAGGATTTCTCTTTTTTAATGGCCAGATGCTACAGCTTAAGAATTTTAAATATGAGAGCAGACACTGATTACTTATTTTTCTAAGAAGCAGCAGACTGCTTGGATTCTTAGCCTTCAGAACTCTAAAAGCCTAATGTTTGAATAGAAACGCAGTTAATCAAAAGTGCAAATCAGCAAAACTGGAGAGCTGCAACAGGTAGTTACAACTGTTACTATTTCATGCTAAGCCTCAGTCTTTCAGGAGACATCAGGACAGAATCCACATCTGCAAATGCCCCAGGATTTTTAAAAGGCTACAACTTCAAACGGCAGGAAGAGATTTTAATTAAAAAGTAGCAAATCAAGTCTTATGAAAATATAATTATTTGCATGGGAAAAATGAACTTCAGGCTATATTATGCTTTACATGTCCATAAGCCTTGGTATAAACGCTGATCTCTACATCACACTTTTACTGCCTCTACCTCGCGTGTTGCTGGGGTAGTCAAAGAGGGCTGGTACCCCTCAATGGCCCAGCCAATTCCTGCAAACTCCCAAGAAGGTTAAATCAGTTGCCTGAAGAAATATTTTGATTTATGTATCAAATTAAGTCTGTATCTTGCGAAAAGAAATTCAACAAAGCTGAAGTAAAATGATCGTCTTTACCATCATCTAATTTCTATGGAATAAAAATTAGTACCAATAGCTGTTCTATACATTGTAAGGAAACATGACATGATGTGGAAGGAGGCAAAGTTTGAAAGAACTCCTTTGAAAGAGGTGATCATATATTAATAACAACGTTAATTAGATTTAACGTCCCTAGTACCCTGGTTCACGAAGCGCTGCAATATAAATATTTGATATCCTGTTAAACCATATACACTATTAATCATTAGTTAAAACTTCAGCATGTCAAATAAAGAGGGCTTTTGGATCACAGTACGTTAGAAATCAGTTTACCTGTATAACAGGCAGCTACACTCCAAAGCAATGGATATTTACCTGCAACTACAGTTCCAAGACGATTATGATGAAAGAAAAAAGCAGCAGCATTTGTGAAAATTCAGGTGACAGATTAAAACAAAAGATCACAGGCGTGGATGCCTAATCAGAGGCACATCAAAGGCACCCTGTTCTTAGGCGATTCAGGCAAAACACCTCAGTCCTCCAAAGAGGCGGCCCGGCCGCTGCGGGCACCCGAGCCGCGCACCGAGGCAGCGGAGCCGAAGGGAACCCCGCTCACCCCGTCAAGAGCTCCCCTAGAGCCCGGTTACACGGAGCGCGCCAAGTGACCCGGTAAGCGGCTGCGGCAGGCAGCTTATGCCCAAATTTCCCAGGCACAGACCCCAACGGGCTCTTCCCCCCTGTCCCCAGCCCTGAGCGCTCCGGCTGGGGGTTGTTTTCCCCTGCCCTCTTCCCCGAAGAGCCGCCTCCCCTCCGAGGCCCCCAGCCCCGGGCACTCCTGGGCGCAGAGCTCGCCGTTGGTGTCGCTACCGCCGGCCGCTCTTTGTCGCGCCGCCTCCACCGGGCTCCCCCCGCTCCGCCACACACGCCCGCCGGCCGCACGCGCTCCGCGGCGGCGGCACCTGCAGCCGCCAGGGCGGCCCCGAGCGCCGCAGGCCTNCTTGGGTGCCGGGCTCTGTTTGGGTCCGTTTGGGTGCAGGGCTCCACTTGGGTGCCGGGCTCTGTTTGGGTCCGTTTGGGTGCCGGGCTCCACTTGGGTGCCAGGCTCTGTTTGGGTCCGTTTGGGTGCAGGGCTCCACTTGGGTGCCGGGCTCTGTTTGGGTCCGTTTGGGTGCCGGGCTCCACTTGGGTGCCGGGCTCTGTTTGGGTCCGTTTGGGTGCCGGGCTCCACTTGGGTGCCGGGCTCTGTTTGGGTCCGTTCGGGCGCCGGGTCCCGTTCGGGTCGCTCTGGGCACACTGGGTTACACTTTGTCCTGCAGCGCGGCCGCTTGCACAACCCGCGGCCTCCCGCAATCGGGCGGCGCTGGCCGGAGCGGGGCACAAAGGTCGGGGGCCCCGCGACGCCCTCGCCCGCCCCGTCCGTCCCTCGCTCCCCTCCCCGAGGCGGCGGCAGCAGCGGGCCGGGCGGCCGGAGCCCCTTTTTTGGGTCGTTTTGAGCCCGTTTTCCAGGTGAGTCTCGCAGCGGGGCACGCGGCGCCGCGGGACGGGCCCCGACGGGGGGGTCCCGGTGCCGGCCCCGCAGCGCCACCTGCCGCCGCCGCCGCGCGCCGCCGCCGCGCGCCGCCGCCGGCCGCACGTCCCCGCGGACACACGGGCTGCGCCGCCGCCACCGTCGCCTCCTGCACCGGCCCGGCCCGCCCCGCGCCCGCTCCCAGCGCCGGCCGCGCCGCCGCCACGCCCCCCCACCGACGCACGTACGCGCCGCGGGGACACGCCCCCCGCCGCGCCCCGCCCGCCTGGGGAGGCGCGGCCCCTCCTGCCGTGCTGCCTGGGCGCGGGGGGGGGGTGAGGTGTTCCCCAACGGTCGCGCCCAACGGTCGCCGTCGTCGCCCAACCGTCGCCGTCTTGGTGCCCCGCGGCGGGCACAGGGTCAGCGAGGCCATCCGTGCCCCGGGGTTGCCTCCCGCCTCGCCGCGTCCCGCAGGGACATAATGTTTATCCTGACGTTCAGCTTTGGATGTGCAGGGGGAGGCTCAGGCCGGGAGAGGAGCCAGGCACGGTCGCTCCTGCAGAGGAAAGAGGCCATTAAAGGCAGCTTTGCCAGGCCTGTACCCCTGGTTGTTTTATAGGGGCGAGGAAATACATCTTCAGTGCTGCATTTTAGTCTGACTTCAAACTAAAAACTGCCTTCCTACCCCCGTTTTTTTCAGGGTAGCTTGTCTGGACTATTACCTGAGGCATTAAAAGAAATAGAAGAATCTGAAGTGACTTGACTTTGCCAAGACAGCTAGTTACACCAAACAAGGCCAGAAAAAGAGAATTTGCTAGACCCCTAAAAAACTATTAAAGTGAAACCTCCACTTTTCCCCACCTCTTATTGCTTCTATTTAACCATTTATAACTGAATCATTCTCAAGTATGAAATCCTGGCCTCTAGCTTCCCATAATTTGACCGTATATCCTGTTTCACATTCTCATTGCTTAAATCAGAGAGACGGAGCCGCTGGTTCCCTTTCCGGGGGGTACAAAATGGCCGGTTGACCTGCTGTTGTTGTGCGCAGGCGCTTGCTGGGGAGGCCTTCGCACCTTGCCACGCTGCAGCTCGCGCTCCGTTAGAGCTTTCCAGAGCAGCAATGCCTTTATTTCACTGCAGAGAATCAGCTACTTCAACTCCGACCTTGTTCAATAATAAGGGGCTTGGAATGGAGTGAATATGAGTGGAAAAAGTGGAGCATTGAAAGAGAGATGGAGAGAGGTGGAAAGGGAAGGGACTGGAGAACCAAAAAAAGCCTTCCTTGAAATCAGATTCTTGCTGAGAAGCTACGATGGCTACGGAAAGTGTCTAGGTGTTGCAGCTGGCTGCTCAGAGGTGTCATCTTCATCCAAACTGATCACTGGCCTACTGTCTTTTTGGTCTCCAAGCTGAATGTGAACAGACTAAAGCGTTCTGATTACAACTTACCTCATCTGACAGCATTTCTTGTCCATCTCAGTGGCCCCAGTGCTTCTAGGGTGCATGTTACCCAAAGCTCATTTTTAAACAAAGTAGTTTTCTTCAAAATCCTGTGCAATTTGTCATAGATCAGAGAAGGATCTGCAGTTCTAGCTTTTGCCTTTCTTTTGTACTTTAACCTTATATTTAAGGTAGCTTTGTAGCTAAAGCTTTAATCCTTTCGAAGGGTTGCAAGACCAGGTTAAGACGGAGCTTGGGATCTCTCTTGAATATAGCTGCTTAAAGACCAGTTTGTTTCTTTGGTAACCAATCTCCTCCCACTGGCTTTCACAAACCCTAATTTTAGCCTTTGCCCAGCTGGCAAATCCATTCATAAGATGCTTGAATGAGGCAGGCTTGGCTATTTCTAACCAAGAGATTAAAATCTTCTGTCAGACCAAGAAACTGTCATACCTGAAGAAGTTTGACAATAAAGCACAGGATCAGCAGCATTTTTTGCAAAGAGCCAAGTAACCTTTTCTTTAAGCTCTGTGATGGCAATTTAAAAGAAAAGACCTAAATACTAGTTCATTCTGTCCTGTAGGTGCTGTTTATTGGTGTGCTAAAGAACACAAAAAAATGCTGTGAGGAAAATCATTTCTGTTTGAATTTAGCAAAGCATTATTTGAAATAACAAAGCAATAGCAATAGATTCAAGGAAAGAGCACAAGTCGAAGGATGACAAAGGAAATGGAAAAATGACTGGAAATATCTTTATTTTGTCCTAATGGACTAATCTTTGGTGTGAGGATCTATTAAGACAATGCTTAATGGAAATGAGAAAAGTACTTATGAAACTAATGCCTCCGCTGTTCCATCCCTTCTCCTTTAGAGATTTCAATTCCTTTCTTCAGGTGGAAAGGAACTGAAAAGAAATACACAGTTGAGGCCCTTTATGAATTTGGAACCTGAGCATTTTGATTTCAGAAATGCACTTCCTAATGACTTTACTATCAGTCTTTTTTTCTGACAGTGAGGTTGAGCCATGAGACCAACATAGGCATCGACTGTTTTCTTTGAAACCATCGCCCTCTGGAGGGAGTATGAAAAATCACAGAAGGATTCAGTGGAAATTCCCTTCTATATCACTGAGTAACTGTATTTATGTTCTAGAGGCCAGGAGCGAATCTACAGAGTGATGCAAAAGCGAATGCTAAGCCGGCAGAGCCACAGTGGCAAGGATGCTCATGTCAGCAAAGGCTGGAGGAGAACCAATCCCCCCATCTGTCTGCCCCATTACTCTCCTCCCCTTTATCTCTAAACTCTTTATCTCTAAGCTCACTGGACATGCATTCTACAACAGACGTACTTTCTCTTCCAACTTCGCCTTGGATCTCTTCCAAACTGGTGTCATCCCCTTTGCTGGCCAAAATAGTTTTAATGCAATCTCTAAAGAATTCCTGACTACCTGATCTCAAAGTCTGCATTCCATCCTCTTTCTTGACCTTTCAGATTTTTTTTTTCCATTATCTTCATTATCCTTTCCCTTTTGATCTTTTATTCTTGCAACATTTTGAAAAATTTCTTCTCCTCTTTTTATCTCTCTGATTTCATGACTAGCATCTATTTAAGTAGGCTTTTCTTTTTGTTTCCGAGGGCTTCACTTGGATTTTTTTTTCTCCCATTTCAATGTCCCAAATAACTGAGTGTGAATGAAAGCAAGCTTCTGCTTTCTCAGACTTCTGCCTGTCCTCTTTGTATTACATGAAAATACTCCACAGAGGCCTGTCCAATTTGATGCACAACAAACTGATCTCTCCTAGCCACAGATCTAGTGACCAGTTTAACCCTGAGCATGTCAGCAGGACATGGCATCTATTACACCTGTAGAGCCAGATGCATCCAGTATTTAGCGTTTCAAAGAAGAATGCAGAAGCTAAATAATATATTAAGTAAGAAATAAGCATCTCTCTAGGTCCCCAAAGTCCAGCAGCAGAAGCCCTGAAACTTGAAATTAGTAGAGCAATCCAACTTAATTTCAGCCTTCCTCGAACTAGCACAACAAATACAGAGGACTCAAAGATGGTCATATTTTCCTTCCTCATTGCACCTAGAACTGTATTTTACTTTCCACCCAAAAACCCCTTTTCACATTTATGTTCAGCCAGTTGGCTGAAACATCTCCTTTGGCTCTCTGCCCCGCTTCAGGCCATCAGATTGCAAACTGTGGAACTCCGAGTAAGGTCACAGGGTTTACAAATAGTTTCATAAGCCCAGCAGAAATTCAAGTGTAGAAGAAGGTTAGTCTTCAGAAGAGAGGTCTCAAGTTTGAAAGAATTACTTAGCTCTCAACGAGGAATCTTAAGCCCAGAAACAGGGATCTTCTCCTGAAAATAAGTGCCCAAAAACAGAGCTGGAAGTGGGAATGTTGATGGCACAGTATGGAGAACTGTCTTCAGTCCCCAAAGAAAGATGGCTAATAA